GAATGTGCTTCTTTTGGGTATATGCCTAAGAGTGGAATTGATGGATCTTGTGGTAGACTAATTCCCATTTTCTTGAGGAATCGCCATGCAGATTTCCAAAGTGGCTGTACCAGTTGGCACTCCCACCAGAAGTGGAGGAGTGTTCCCCTTTGTCCACAACCTCTCCAGCATAAACTGTCATTGGTGTTTTTGATTTTAGCCATTCTGACAGGAGTAAGATGGTATCTCAGAGTTGTTTTGATTTGCATTTCCCTGATGGCTAAGAATGTTGAACACTTTCTTATGTGTCTTTCAGCCATTTTAGATTCCTCTATTAAGAATTGTCTATTTAGTTCTATACCCCACTTTTAAATTGGACTATTTGGTGTTTTGGAGACTAGCTTCTTGAGTTCTTTGTAAATTTTGGAGATCAGCCCTCTGTCGGATGTGGGGGTCAGTTACATCTCTTTGGAAACACTCTAGACATTGTTTCCTAGGTGCTTATTTTAGAACAGATGGTCTGATGGTATTTTAGTAGTTCTATATCTTCTCAGCACAAAGTTTGAGAAAAATGTCCATTACTTCTTACAGTTCATCAAGGTTGATGGGGTTATCATGGCTTCAGTGCTCCTCTGAGAAACATGCTCTCAACAGTGAACTTAAACTTAAAAAGTGTCCATAATAAGAGAATTATGGGAAATGGTCCAAACAGGAGCTCTTCCAAATTGCTCGTTTTTCAACTGGGGAAAGTGAGTCTTTGGCATGATTGAACTGTTGGTTCAAGGTTAGACAGTATCAGAGTATCCATGGGAGGGTCTGGGGTGGGGGACTTAGGAAAATGAGCATGGTAGAGGGTGAGAGTCCATGATTATGAGTTAGTTTCTGAGTTAAAGACTTAACTTCAGGACATGAAAAAACGGCTACTGGGCTCCTGTGTGAAACTTCATCATCACTGCTGATGCTGAGAAAAAACACAGGATGGTGAAGAATAAGTGGCCTCAGAAGTGAAGAAAGTTCCCATAACCTTTGGGGAGACTTGTTCACTCTTAGTTCTTTCTATAAATATCTAATTGTGGCTTGAATGAAAATGGCTATATTATGTTCATATGTCTGAATACTTAGTTTTAATATTAGTACTGTTGGTGGAACTGTTTGAAGGATTAAGGGGTGTGTGTTGGAGAAGGTGTGTTACTTAGGGCAGGCTTTGAAGTTTCAAAAGCCCTCCCTCACCTTTCCCAGTTATCTCTGTCTCCTGCTTGTGGATCCAAGACATGAGCCCTCAGCTGTTCTTGATGCCATACCTTTGTTCTGCCATCATGGACTCTAACCCTTTGAAACTGTAAGCCCCAAATTAAATGTTTTCTTTTACATTTTTCCTTACTCATGTTTCTTATTACAGCAATAGTAACACTAAGACACTAATATATTCCTGAATGAGTATCAGCACTAATTCATGTTTTATGTTCTCAATGTTACTTGTTCAAGTGCAAACCTCTTCCTGTATCTTCAGTATCAAATTTAGTTACATATTAATTTAAATAGATTATTTTAAAAGACAATTTTAGGGGCCTGGTGAGATGGCTTGGCTATTAAGAGCTCTGGCTGCTCTACCAGAGGTCCTGAGTTCAATTCCCAACAACCATATGGTGGGAATTACACTTACAAACTTCTGTAATGAGATCTTGGGTCCTCTTCTGCAGGCAGACATATAGGCAGAACACTGTATACAAAATCTTTTTAAAAAGGTAATTTTAATATGATTTTTTAAAGATTTTTTATTAGAATGTCATTGCTGAGAGATGCCTGTTGGTGAAGGCATGCAATATCAGCAGCTTGGTAGCTTGATAAAGGATGATCACAAGTTTATGGTCTGCTAAGGCCATCGAAGAGTTCAAGGCCAGCATGGGCAACTTAGTGAGATCTCATCTCAAAATAGGGACAGAGAATGGGAAATGTGGGATCAGCAGCATGAGCAATGCCCTGAGTATGACCCCATCACCACCACACTATGTAAATGCTGAAAATTCCTTCTCCACTTCTTAGCAAGATCTTTCCTTCAAGGATCTCAAAACCCATGTTAGAGCCAGTCTAACTCCTGGATGGCAGGTCCCATCATGTTTCTGTAATCTATGGAACAATAGGGTATGCTATACAAGCTGGTTTGATCAAGGAGTATGTAAGGTCCAGTATCATATGAGAACAGACCTTGTTAGTGTATAGATCAAGGCCTGGAAGCTCACACACCTGCTTTCTCTTCCTATCTCTGCCGTCACAAAGACAGCAGTAACAAGTGTGTGACATTTGAACCTGCCCCAGAGTCTTCATGGGTCTGTGCTTCCCAGGAAAGATTTACTATAGAGATCAAACACTATGATTCTGTCATATCAAGATTTGAAATAGTTGTTTTCATGGGACTCAGACAAAGTTTCTGTTTCTTTCAAAATTTCCTTAAAATCCTCTGAAATGCTCTTGGTAAGACTCACAAGGATAAAAGATACAGCCTACAGATGTAAGCCTGATAAGGCCACTTGGCTCTGAGAGGAGACCAGTCTAGTCTTGACATTGCTAGAGTTTAGGTTAACATCCCCAGAGCAAACCTGGGATCCAGGAGTGTTTGGTTACATACAACAAGGATGGGGGCAAGCTCCTGGGACATTGATGTTTTTACTATTGCCAGTGGCTCACATATTTTACTCTGAAGAATACAAAACAGAAGTCTAGTAAGATTTTTTAAGCATATAAGATTTTCTGAGTTGCAGCTTGTCTGGATAAGGTTTCCATGAAAACCATGGAGGATAAAGAACAGTTTTCTCTATTTGGCTCTAAGACAAAGTTTGGATTTCTCAAAGGAAAGATAAAAAATAAGAGTAATATACTTTTTGACCTACTTTTGCTCTTTCAAATTGGGGGCCTTCCCTTTTTCTGTTGAGTAGATATTTTAACACAAGAAGCTAAAAAACAATTATTTGGGGAAATGCTTCTATGAGAGGTTACTGAGTTATGTGTTGTGAAACTAGCTTATTATCTTCAGAATTGGGTGGCTGAAATTGTCATAGGACTGAATATGGAATTTTAAGTTGCTGACTGTAGATAAGAAATGTGAGTTAATAGTCCACATTAACTTGCTGCTGGCTGGCTTTAATACCATTATTATTGTCTTGAGGACTGTTCTATAATGATATTAAAACCTTCCTTTTCTTTCTGTTTAGGCGTGGCCTCCTGCCCTGTAGATCCTTCTGTGAGGCTGCAAAAGAAGGCTGTGAGTCTGTACTGGGGATGGTGAACTTCTCCTGGCCAGATTCCCTCAGATGCTCTCAGTTTACAGACCACACTGAGAACAGCAGCAATGTCAGCAAGATCTGCTTCTCACTGCAGCAGGAACATGGAAAGCAATGTAAGTATCTGTGATTTCTGTTAAATTCAGATATACCACCCACTTAGAAACAGCTACATAAATAGGTGTACTGTCTAATATGGTTTAAAAAATGAACAGACTTCAGATTAAAATGCAGGATATTAACAACACCTAGAAATGCCCTCTGTAGGCCTCTTGGTTGTCTTATCTTTGCCAAAAAAAATTCTGTCCTGACTCCTATCACCTTAGCTAGCTTTGCTTATTACTGAACTTCATGTAAACAAAATAGTTAAATAATATGTGATGGCTCTGTATCTCTCTGTATTTGCTTAACATTATGCTTGAGCAATGCATTGTATTTATTGCAGGTTCCATTTCTTCTCACTGCATGTAGTGCTCTAGTACTTAACATTACATTTGAGCAATTCATTATGTTGATTGCAGGTTCCATTTCTTCTCACTGCATGCAGTACTCCTAATACTCCATTATACAACAATCTATTTCTCTTGTCTGCTATTGATGGACATTTAGGTTATGTGCAATTTCAGTTATGATGAAGAACAATGCTGTTACTATTTTCACACATGTCTTTGGTCAAACATAGTTGTGGGCTTGTTCAGCCAAAATAGTTCTCTAAATAGTTGTATGGACTTATACTCCTGGAATCTATGTGTGAGAGATCAGCTTGTTCTCATCTATTCCCAACAATGGCATTTTCAGTCTCTCTCATTTTTACATTTTTGGTGAGAGGATTGAGGCATCTCACTGTGATTTTCAGTTGTTTTTCCCTGAGGAATTTTATCATATTTTTAAAAATGTATAACTGTTTCACGATCCCTCCTATGGTACAAATATTTGTCTATGTCCCAATGGTGTCATTAATTTACAGTTCCATATGCAGAGTGGATGTATCTCATTATAGTTTTGATCTGAAATGTTGCACAGAGACTCATTTGCTAACAGCTTGTCTACTGGCCCGCAGCACTGTTGAGAGTCTCTGGAGCCTTGAAGAGGTGGAGTACAGTAGAACGAAGTTGGGTATCTGGTGTATGAACTGAGTACTGGGATTCTGGCCTCTTCTTTCTGTTTTTGCTTCCTATCCTCCATAAGGTGAACAGCCTCATCTACCATGTGCCTTTGCCATTATATTTTACCTTTAAATAGTCTCAAAGTATTGTGGGTGACCATGAACTAAAATCTCTAAACTCTGAGGAGACAAAATAATTTCTCCTACATTTAAACTGTTTATTTCAGGCATTTTGAGGCTTTATAGAGACACAAAGCTGACTAAATATAGATGGTACTTATTGTGTAGTTGTATTGCAAAGATCTCTGATTGTGCTTCCCCATTTCCAACACTTATGCGTCTTATTTTCATAGGATAGAAAAAGAGTTATTTTTATTAATTATTTGAAATTCTCATATGATTTACTTTGATCATATTCACTCCTCCTCTTCCAACTCCTTTCAGATCCATTGTTTCCCTGTCCACCCAACTTTGTGTCTTCATTTAAAAAATAACCTACTGAGTCTGATTTCTGCTGCCCATATACTCTTGGGTGTTTGGCCATCCACTAGAATGTAGTCAACGTAAAAGGTGCTAGATCCTTAAAAAAATGGACTCTGCCTCTCCCAATGGCTCTCAGTTGCTAATAGCTCCTCAGCTATTAGCAGGGTAAGATTTCATGCCTACTTCCTTACTTCATTCTGAGATTTGGTCTGGCTTAAGCTTGCTTGGGTCTTGTGCATATATCACAACCACTGTGAGTCTATAGTTGCAATTTCCAAGCTGTGTCCAGAAAACATGGTTTCCTGTAGTCATCCACTGCCTTTGGCCTCACTGTCTTTCTATCCCTTATTCCATAGTGATCACTGAACTTTGGAGCGGGTATGATATAAATGTTCCATTTCAGGCTGAGCACTCAGCAATCTCCTCTTGTCAGTGCCTTGACCAGTTGTGAGTCTCTGTGTCAGTCTCCATCTAAAGAAGCTTCTCTGATGAGGACTGAGAGATGCACTAGTCCTTGGGTATAACAGAAAGTTATCGGGAGTCATTTTAATAATATGTTCATTTAAAGAATAATAGTAGTAGGTTCTGTCCTATGGCCTATGATCTCTTTACTCATAGGTTATTGGTCTCTACCACAGTGCCATGTATGAGTTCCATACTGTGGAACAGACTTTAACTCCAATCAGAAGGTTGATGGTTACCCCCACAGCATTTGTGCTACTGTTGTGCTACCAGTGGGCATGTCTTTCCAGGACAGTCATTGTTATAGCTCACAGGGCTCACAGCTGGGTCAGACTGATAATTACCTTTCTCCTCTGATAGTACACATAGCACCTTCCATCACTATGAAATCTAGCCATTAGGGATGAAGCTTCCAGGTGTGTACTGCATTGATTTTTCCCATGTTCTAGGACTCAAGTATGTGGTTCAGCAATAGAGTCTTACTGTTTATGGAAGGATCCAATGGATACTCTTAGATTTGGGAACTCCTATGTGTAGTTTTATTTTGAGGATGGGAGGCTTTATTTGGCTTACATTTTCAAATCACCGTCCATCATTGAGGGAGGTTAGAGCAGGAACTCACTCAGAAACTTCAAAGAAGGAACTGAAGTAAAGACCATGGAGGCATGCTGTTTACTGGTTTACTCCCTCAGATTTGCTCATCTATTTTTCTTCTATAAACCAGGTTCACCTGCCTAGGGATGGCTGTTCCCACAGTGGGATGGGCCCGCCTACATCAACTTGAAACTAAGAAACTGTATCATAGACATGGCTTAGTTGAGATTTATTCTTCCAAGATGGACCTAGGTTGGTGTCATTATTTTTAATTTAGAAAAATTTGAAAAGCAAAATATAATTATATTATTTCCACTTTTCCTTTCTTCTCTCTAACCCCTCCCATGTACCCCCATTGCTCTTTCATGGTCATGGTCTCTGGCATATTTTACTTTAATTGATATATTATGTTCCTAAAAATGTAAAAATATACTTGTTCTGTATAATACAGCTTTTTAAAATCATAAGTGGTTTTGTATTTTACCAAAAGCTTTCTTTATGTCTATTAAGGTGATCGGTTGTTTTGTTCCTATTAGGCTATATGGTAATAACTCCATATTCATTTAGACATTGGTGATGCTCTCTTTCTTGGTACGTGTAAGAGAGAGTGAGTACCAGGTTTCAGTACAAAAATGTGAGTATAACTGTTATGGCCCTGGAGCTGCAAAGATCTCAGGAAGCCAGGCTACCTGAAGCTGGGATGGTCTGCAGCAGGGTATAGCAATCCTGCTCCTCTCCTAGAGAGCTGTTACAGCGAAGCTGAGCTCTGCTCTGTTCCTCTAGGGGAGTGTCCTAGCAGCTATCCACTTCTTCCTCTGCCCCACATGTTACTTCTATTACACTCTGCTATAGGGGAGGCCCCTGCAGAAATGTAGCAATCTCCTCCTGCTCAGGGAAAGAGTTGTTACTTTGCTCAGCCTTGCTCATACTGCTAAGGGAGTGTCTCAGCAAGGTTCTGCACTGGTGAATGAAGATCTTCACCCAAGACTCTTTGGAGAAAGAGATTTATCAGGGAAGGTGTAGTCCAGAACAGTGGCTTCCTCGGGGGGGGTGGAGACTGCCTTCTAGAAGGCAGAGACATTCGATCCCCAGAGCAATCTGACTAAGGAGACCTGCTGTGTAGTCAAGCTCTGGATTTGATTGAGAGATGCTGCTCATTTTACAAAGTAGGAGAATAATGATGATGATTCCTAACAGCACCCGAAGGCATCCACAGGCACGAATACTCACAAGCACATATACTCACTGTGATGGTTTAAGTAGCAATGGTCCTAAGAGCTGCACATATTTGAGTGCTTGGTCATTAGGGAATAGCACCACTTGGCAGGACTTAGGAGGTGTGGCTTTTTGGAGTAGGTGTGGCCTTATGGGAAGAAGTATGTCACTGGTGGGCGGGCTTTGGGGTTTCAGAATCCATAACTAGGCCTCATGGCAATTTCTCTTCCTGCTGCCTGTGGATCTGTATGTAGAACTCTCAGCTCCTTCTCTAGCACCATGTCTGCCTGTGTGTCACAATGCTTCCTGACATGCTGATAATGGGCTGAACCTCTGAAACTGTAAGCAAGGCCCAATTAAAAGCTTCCCTTTGTAAGAGTTGCTGTGGTAACGATGTCTCTTCACAGCAACAGGACATTGACAAGGAGACTGTCACTTATACCCAAATCCACAAAAACATACGCACCTCCACCCCATATGCACCCCACAAAACAAAACCCTTATTTGATCTATTTGTCTTATAGTAACTATTTTCTCAATACTTTTAGAACTTTTTGCAAGTTACTCTGTTCCAGTGGTTCTCAACCTTCCCAATGCTGTGACTGTTTACTACAGTTCCTCATGTTGTGGTGACCCCCAACTACAATATTATTTTGTTGCTACTTCATAACTGTAATTTTGCTACTGTTGTGAATTGTAATGTAAATATATTATATGCAGGATATCTGATCTGTGACCACCCAAAGGTGTCATGACTGAGTCTATTCTCTTTAGTTTATTTCTTTTATAACTGAGACTAACCTAATTCACCTTTGATGAGGGTTTTAGCAATTGGCATCGTTCCATGGTGCCAGGGTCTCTCTCTCTGTCACTAGTGATGACATCTTTAAAAAAATTATTTATTTTACATCCTGACTTCATCCACCCCTCCCTTCTCTCCTTTTGCCTCCTCCCTTCTCCTTCCTCTACCCCCTCCATTCTTTCCTTTCTCCTTAATCATTCAGAAAGGGGCAGGCCTATCATCAGCAAGGTGTGGTCTATCAAATTGCCATAAGACCAAACATATCCTTATGTTCATTCTCCCCTGAGTTCTCCAGACCAACATCTCTGTCTCATGATCTCATTTGTTGGACTCTCCCTGAGGCCAACTGTCACAAGTGGGGTGCTCTAGAAACAGTTACTAAGAGGAAGTCTTTGATACATTTACTTATTTGGTACTCAGTCCGTTTGTTGTAGAGAGGAAAGATGTCAGCTTTT